CAGACAAATAAATTCATATTTGTTTTGGCTCATCCAAACTTAAACCAAATAAATAACTAGATGATTATTCAAAGGCATTTTTGTTTTTGTATAATTCAGCTCATGGATTCTTTTAAAAATCAACTTGTGAATATTTTCGGAAAAAAATGTGATACTTGGGGGGGAGTGGCAGAAATAACATTTATTTTAAATTTCTACAAATAACAGGAACAGGAAATTCATCCAATACGCATCAAGAATTAGATTCTAGGATTGCTTGAGTAATACTTCTTTTGGTTAACAAGAAAAACAAAACACTAGAAAACCACTTCACTCATTAATGTTTCCTTTTTTTTTTTATTGCTGGTGGCAACATCTACAACAAATTCAAGTATAAGTCAAAAGTTATACTGCCTCTATTTATAAACTTGTTTTATTCAATCTATACTGAAATATTTGAGAAGCAAAATGGATAGCTTCCATTCTAAGACCATTTTTGGCAAAGGCAAATTGCTAAACGTTGAAACCCCTCATGACACAGTACCATTTTAAATGCGATTTTACGTTCATTACAGAAGGTTAGCATATTGAAAAGAAGTACCATTGCCAAAGATTAAAAGGAAAATTATGCTGAAAAACAAAGACATGCACCTGTATAACTTTTAGTTTTCCTCACAGAAGAGAGGGTCCATAAAAGAGAGAAACCAAAGAGCTGACAACAAAGGTACTTTTCAGTTTCATAATTCGGACACGGTTATCTTTTCTGGGTAGAGCAATTGGGCCTAGCACATCACAAGCAGGGGAAAGGTACTATGAGCTTTACACAGCACTGTGGCCCAGATCAACAGCAGAGCTCCACCATCACAGAGAGGCCCTTGGAGGTCATCACACCTACAAATAGTACAGGGTAAGTGAAGGGTGCTTGTTGTTGCAGTTAGTGTTACCTCAGCCTGTTCAAGAACTTAGTTACCTTGTTTACAAATATACTATCCTGTATTTTCCATCAAATGATCATTAATTGCTTTTAAGTAAGTGCTGACAAGTGGTGACTATATGACGTAACAAGAACAAGATGTTGCATGGCCCTGGCCATCTCCATGACCTTTGCTCTGCTGAGTCCACTTTTAAACCACTGTCAATCCATTTCATCTGTTGTTGCCAACCTTTCACATCAAATATGACTCATATTCAAATAACACTTGTATTGATACTTTTGTTTAAAATAACAAGACAAAGTAAAGCATTACCAATAAAGTAGGCTTTAACCTGAAAGTAGAGCAGAACTGTTCTTTCTAGTCTATGAAAGCAAGGGTGAGATCTAGGTATGTTAGCTATTCAGAATTAGTCAAGTTTCTGCTAGTGTTAACATTTCTAGCCCTGAAAACCAACGGGGGAAATTCTACTCTGTCTTATAGATTGGAGCTCGATAACATCATTTAAAGAACACTGGTAGATAGGGGAACCCTAGTGGCCTTGTAGTTATGCGTTGCTCTGCTAACCGCAGGGTCAGCAGTTTGAAAACACCAGCCATGCCTTGGAAGAAAGATGGGGCTGTACACTCACATAAAGAGTTACAGTCTCGGAAACAACAACAGAGGCCTGTCCTATACAGTCGTTATGAGTTGGAATCGCCTGGATGGCAGTGAATTTAGCTTTTGGTTGGTGGATAATGGCTAGGTGCTCAAAAGGTTGGTAGATCAAAGACACTCAGTGGCTCTGTAGAAGAAAGGACTGGAAATCTGCTTCCATAAAAATTAATAGCTACATTTCAGTATGGGAAGTTCTACTCTGTCATTGGGTCCACTATGAGTTAAAAATAAATCTGACAGCATCTAACCAAAAGGTAATTTAGGGAGCTATCATTTCCTTATAGCATCTTGTAATGTTCTAAGCATACTCTAAGCCACATTGTCACCTGACCCCACCCAAGACCTATGACCCTAAATTAAAAATTAATCATATTCTTTTAGTTCTTTAAACTGAATTCCGATCAGTATGCTTTTGCAAGTAAATATTTTACTTGCTGATTTTAGTTGCTAATTTTTTTTCTCCACAGGCAAAAATGAAGCACAAGGTAATTAAATTGAACATTATGGCAGCAAAAACAGAGGATATAATTCTTTCTTCTGGGACAGAGGTCCAGCAATTCCTATATGAAGTATGAAAGGACAGCAGATTATCAAAATTTTAAAAATCCCTCAGACTTGAAAGTTCCAGACCAGGCATTCTAATAACAGACTACTTATACCAACAGATTAACTCCACGAATTGCATAAACATGTGGAACAGAACGCCTAACAGCAATTACCAAAAACGCATTTGTTATAACTTCTTTGTTCAAAAACAGTCAAAATGTGGTTCCCTTAATTAAATTGCATGCAAGAGATAAACATTTTTAAAAATAAAATAAAAATGTAGCAAAGTCACTGACACTTACCTTGTTCAGTGGATTCTCTTACATAGGGTCTAAGATGAGACATTTTGATAGGTCTTTTAAGTCTAGCTCCAGTGCTGTTGCGCAGGACAGCACATCCACTCTCTGTAATATAGTCTATGACGCAAGGGCCAACCCATTCAGACTGGAAATGACTGTCCTTCCACCAGTTTTTCCTTTGTCTTAAGATTTCATGACCCACTTTTAGATGAAATGGATTTAATTTCTTTTTTTTTCAGCAGCAATCTTGCTTTTATTTACTTCATCAGAATTGTTATTCTCCATCTACAAGCACCAAAAACAAACAGAGAGGAATGAAAAAGCAATAATTTCTAGAAGGCAGTTATTGTAACAAAATGATTGATATGCTAGCAAAAGATAGGCATGAGTTCTATTTATTTCTTAAAATAATGATTTCATAGTTGCTATTAGTACATTTACTTTGTATAAAGTAAATAAGGTATAAATAGGTTTAAAAGTTTTTCTAAATCAAACATATGGAAAACAAGAAGATTAGGGATTTGAACCCATATCTGTTTGATTTTAAAATTCATTTTTCTCCCACTATTATTTCTCAGAATTTCATAGCTAATAAACATCATACTATTTAATCACAATAAATAGGTTTGATAGAAAACTTTAATCTTCAGAGTTTATAATGTAGTATGTATATATTCTGAAACTGACAATAAATGATCACATTATTGATTTTTTCTATTAAATAGGAGTCATCTGGCCTGCTGAAGTTGTCTTATTCACCATTATTTTATCAACTTCTTTAAGTGCATCTAGAATTTTAGCAAACATACTTGTATTATCACCATCCACTTCATGAAGACTATCAGAAGTCTCGGTTATATTAGGATTTTGATTAAACATTTGAAAATATGGTGTGTTTTTAGCAGGTTCCTATTTTGAGGAAAATAAACAGCAAATATTTATCTAGCCAAGAAATAATCACTCATATCTTCTAAGAACAGAATTATAAAAAGGCACATACCAAGTGAGTTATATTGAATGCAAATGAAACAGCTGATAGATGATCATCCGAGTTTTCTGGGTGGTCAGCACAGTGTTTGAAGAGATAAGTTTTGATTGTGCTAGGTATACTTTCAGTGGGATTGAGAGTTTGAGAGACGTGAGATATTACAATGTGTTTTGTGCCAAACAATCCATAGAGCTCTACATAGATCTAAAAAAGATATTAAAACAAAGCTGACTTTTAAAAATCAGTATTTCCACTGGTTAAAAAAGTTCAAAAGAATTTGAATCTTGTCTTTTTCATTGACCCTTTCAAAGACTTTTGAAGATTAAATGAGTTCATGTTTCCAAAGCATGTAAAGGATTCTTGGAAAGTAGTAAAAACTCTTTAACTCTTAACTGCTGTTATTATTGTTATATTTTTATGTTCAAACCTAAAAGAATTCAAAGAGCTTAGAAGTTTTCCAATAAACCTGTTAAATCTAAAATAACTTACATTTTTCTATCTTACTCTTTCTTTTTAAAATGGGATAAACAATGGGTCAGTTTACTATTTTTTTTCAGTTTACTATTTTTAAAATAAGAATATTTCCTGATGCTTAATTGGAAGTAGTAGGCAAACAGAGCAAATAAAAAGGTAAAAATAAAATATGAGATAACAATAAATAATATTGTATTTCTAAAGTTCACTTATAGGTAGATAGGGGTGGTTATATAACTTAGTTCTGGTTAAAAACAGTAGGTGTGGGGCTCTTAAAAATTTGGGGCAGAATCAACTGGTGATTTCTTCAATATTGCCTCCCCTCTTCTTTTGAAAATGTAGAAGAGGCACTGGCTTATCCCATGAGCAAAAGATTTAGGGCCACACCCCAAAGAATATGGAACAGAGGGCTAGAAACACTTCTTTCATAGAATTTGTGAGTATTTTATATCCATACCTGTTCTTTGAGAGGGGGACACAAAGGCAAAGAAAAGGTTTTCTCGTTTTTAATGCTGAATTCAAATAAAATAATTAAATAATTTTGATTTGGAAAAAGCAATCTTTCAGTATTGACTATTCACATCCATGAACAAAATGTAGGATTCCATTTAATGAAGTCCTTCTTTATTTGTCAATCATAAACACTTTAAAATAGAAGTAAATAAAATCATTTGGCCCATTCTAAATTTAATTTCAGGATAACTTAAGATAACTTTATAATTATTTAGTGGCACAATAAAACCTGAATTTCTGGTTTCCGATTTCTACTCCAATCACCTTTGTCATGTTTAAGACTCTACCTCTCATATGTATCGAATAAACTGTCCTCTTTGTTGTTGGGTCCTGTCATATTCTGGCTCCTAGTGACCCCACAGACAACAGAACCAACCATGGCCTGGACCCATGCCGTCCTCACAGTCATTGATGTTTGAGTCAATTGCTGTAGCCATCATGCTATTCCATCTCACGGAGGGTGTTCCTCGTGGTGCTGTGTACTTAGCCAAGCATGATGTCCCTCTCCAGGGACTGGCTCCTCCTGATAACATGCTCAAAGCAAATAAGATAAAGTCTTGCTAGGCTTGCTTTTAAGGAGTATTCTAGCTGTACTTTTTCCAATAAAGATTTATTCGTTCTTCTGGCAGTCTATTATGTGTCTATTCAATATATTCAATATTATTTGTCAACACTGTAACTCAAATATATCAATTCTTCTGCATTCTTCCTTATTCACTGTTCAGCTTTCACATGCTTATGAGGTAACTGATAATACCAGGCCAGGTGCACCTTAGTCCTCAAGGCAATATTTTGCTTTTCAGTACTTTAAGGAAGTCATGCCTTATGTGAATGTTCTTTGAAGCAAGGATGAGGTGACTTTTATCTCATGTACTCTGGACATGTTGTCAAGAGAGACCAGTCCCTGGTCTCTGGAAAAGGACATTATGCTTGGTAAGTATAAGGAAGTGTAAAAGAGAAAGACCCTCGCCAGATAAACTGCAGGGTGGCTGCAACAATGGACTCACATGACAGCTGTGTAGAAGGCAGGACCAGGCAGTCTTCCCTTCTATTGCACATAAGGTCACTATGAGTGGGAATCGACTGGACTGCACCTAACAAGGAGGTCTATATCACTGAACTCTTAATTGTGTGATGTGTGGACTATGTGTCAATTAAACGGTTTAAAAAATTAATATGGCAATTAACAAACAAGGTCTTTTGTAGCAGATCTGTATAATACAATATGACTAATTTTTATGACTATACTTATTACGCCTCCTATAATACATCATTGACACTCAGTGATGGCAATGGAAGGTAAGTAAGATCTAAGTAGTTTGCTTTACCTGATGGGTAAATTCATCTCTTTGATCCATTATTATTTTCTGAGGAGGGCCATATAAAAAAAATATATTGATAATGGCTTTAGAAATTTCAGATGCTGAAATATCAGAGAGGGGCAAAATCACAACCCATTTTGTGAACAAATTGGTCATGATTGTAGCATATACATGACTTCTGTTGCTCATTTGAAAAGGTCCCATCAAATCAATGGTCACTATACTCCATGGATTTTCCACCTTGAGAATGAGCTGTTTAGATGCTATAAAAACTGCATTTTTGGCCACTTGGCAATGCTGACAGGCATATACCTAAAAAAGGACACATAATAAAAATAAAATATAGAAATGTTAATATAGTAAAAATAATAAAAGAAAGTTTATACATTTCAATTCCAAAATGATTAATAGGTACTCTGTTGTGAAGGAGCTCTGGTGGTCTAGTGCTTATGCGTTGAGCTGTAATCTGCATGGTTGTTAGTTCAAAACCACCAGCAGCTCCAGGGGAGGAAAATGGGCTTTCTGCTCCTATAAACAGCAAATCTTAGAAACCCACAGGGTGGTTCACTATGAGTCAGCTTTGACTCGATGGCTGTTAATTCTGTTGCAAAGGTGCTTTTCGACAGACTAGATCACTCAGTTATGCTGTCTATTCAGGATGGTAAGCAAATAATTGTTGCTACTACTACTAAAAGCAGAGCTCTAGGGGTTACAAACTGTGCTGCAATTGCATGGTCAGCAGTTTGAAACCACCAGCATCTCCGTGGGAGAAAGACTGGGCTTTTTCTGTACATCGTTATAGTATCAGAAACCCACAGGAGGTCGCTATGAGTCAGCACTGACTCGATGGCAGTGAGTTTGCTTTGGGGCAGTCCCACTAAAATCCATCTTAGAAGTATAAGTATGATTCTGGCTTGCATTCAATAAACATTTAGTAAATAAATAATCCTTAAAACAAGTTTACTATAAACTTGAATAAGCATGTAAAGATATAATTACTATATGCAAGAAATGCTTCTAAATCATCACACTAAAGAATTCATTAATTTATTATAACAATATTTATTAAAATACAAGTTGATTCAAACAATATTTGTACAACTAGAAATTGTTCTAGATCCTGGGAAAAGGGAGAGAACAAAAGCAAAGCTGTCATGAAGCTTTCCTTTGAGGAGAGAGAGAAGTGACAGTTAACCAACTTATTGATGGTACCTGTGATGAAGTGAAATTATTTGGGATGGTTCTTCTATCCATGTCTTTGTAACTCCCACCAAATGACCACACAGATAGGGTGTGTGGAAGACTAATAGCGGGGTTGGGTATAAAAGAGTGAGCCACCTGGGAAGTGGGACAGGATCCTGTGACTATCAAGAAAGAGGAGCCACCAGAGGAGCATATGGGATATTCCCGGTTGAAGGGGTGAAGGCACCAGAAGCCGGGGCACAAAGACTGAGAGACGGAGCAGTGGAGCTCCACTGAAACCAGGAGAAGAGCAGAGGAGCCTCACTAAAACCAGGAGGCAGAACAGACAAGAAACAGAGATCATGAGGCAGAGTGGCAGCCTTCTTGGTTCGCAGAAAGGCAGAGGCCAAGGGCCCATGCAAGGGACAAGGGCCCATGCAAGGGACAAGAACCAGAGATACATGCCTGCCAGCATGGCTAAGAGGCATTTTAGACAAAAGAACTGTATCCTATCATAATGTAACCTGTTAGCTTCCCTAATAAGCCCCATAATCTTATTTATTGTCTGATTTCTATAGTGGCCATTACAATGAGTTATTGAGCATAGCAGAGAAGTAGTGTATTGTCAAAAGAAGGGTTGGTCTAAGAAGGGTAAAGAAGGATGGAAGTTGGAGACATGTCTGACCACTGTCTTGTGGCAATCAGCCTTAAGCTGCTGTGGAGTTGGATTCTCTTTCTTCCTTTGCAGAGTGAAGGGGAGTTACATATGGCCCTATACCATGTCTTCAGTGTTAGTGCTTAATGTTTTCCTACAATCTTTTGAAGCTAATCTCAAAATAACTTCCGTTTAAAATCTTTAAAACCATCCTATTATAAATGGTCATAGTTATTTTAGATCAAGAATTTTATTTACCAACTAACTAGCTTTCAACTCATGTAACTTCTGATTATTTCCCCAGATGATATCCATTCTCAAATGATAGACCTCTGGCAAAGGCTTCAGGTTGTAAGGGCAAATTCAAATATAGGTCTTCGGCATACTAGCAGACTCATAAAGTGTTAACTCATAAATGATAGTTAAATATTTGTTTAATCTTTTATGGCTAATGATGTGTCAGTCTTTGTGATGTACTATTACAATTATATAAGGGATCTCACTTTGGTCATATAGGATGGAATAAAATAGCCTTTTAAGAGTTGCCATGGCTGAAAATCCTCCTGAAGCCAACTGTCACAACTTCCTCCTGCAGAAGTGCTAGTGGGTTTGCACACATGATCTTTTGGTTTGCAGCAACCCCAATCAAACTAAATGCAAAGTCAAGTTGTAATGATAACGAAATTCGTCCGATTTTTTGTAACTGTACACCCACTTAAGGAGTGCTGCTATATTTGCTATTTTCTACCTGAACTCACACATCAGACCTTACTTGAACTTCAAAGATGTAATGATTTAGAATAATCATTTCAGCCCCATTTAAATTCTGCCTACATCAAAGAGTTCAACAATGAAAATCTGACCAAAGTCTGGTGTGGTATTTTAAAATGTTTAAATATTTCTTTTTCCTTCAAATAAATATGTTAGTGATGTAAATTTTAAAGAATTGTGAAGTGAAATAAAACTCTTAAAGGTTCTTGTATAAAACTAGCCACACAAAAAATTCTTAATGAGTGATGAGACCCTGAGTAAACCTGTAGCAAAAATAATGTTTGTGTGTCTGTGCCAAGATGTTCCACATGCATAAGCCCTACCCACTGTTTGACATCTTTGGCCACGGACGTCCAGTAGTAGCAGGACTCCAGCAGGGTCAGGGTTCTGGATATGCCATGATGCGTGCCTGTGTCGTTTTCATGGCAGTCTCTCAGGACCTTCTTTTTTTCCTCTTCTGAAACAATTACCAAACAATTTTGCTTGCTGTCTTTTCCAACATAAAAGAGCTTTTTTTTCGGGAATAAAGGAGACCAAAAAGAATTAGAAATTTTGGTTATTTATAAAAGTTTAAGGCAATCATAAAACCTTATCATCAAGCCATGTTTTTTGGCTTTAACAAAACCTTTCTCCCTCTAAATGTATTTGTAATGATTCTACAAGTACTAGATGTTTAGGAGTACCACACTCTCTCTCACTGCCTTCATTCAGCAACCCTACAGGACAGGGTAGAATTGCTCATTTGGTTTCCCAAACTGTAACTCTTTACTGAAGTAGAAAGCCTCATTCACCTTTTTCCCATGGAGCAGCTGGTGGTTTTGAACTGCTGACATTGGGGTTAGCAGACTAATGCGTGATCCACTAGGCCACTGGGAGGATCTAGCTATTAGAATTTTAAAAGTTATCAATACAAGTATAATTGGATTGTTCACCAAAGCACACGATATAACTATGGGAATATGAAATTATATTTGCTGAGTACTCAAACTGGAAAATTACTTGCAGGTACCTCTTAAAAATAGGAAATGATTTATGTATAGATAATCAACATTCTGAAACAGAATTTTCCAAAGTAGCTTCATTATAGCTACATTTTTGCAAGCAATAACCTCTCTCAGGTGTTTTTTTTCTTTTCTTTTTCCCCCCCCGAATCTTAGGAAGAGGTGTAGAACAAAGACAGGGAAAGTGAGAGTGCTATAGTCCTTAAGATAATTTCTTTCTTTCCTGGGGATGACAACTAGAAGCAACCAGGAAATGGACATGGGCATTTCTACAGAAAGTGGTCCCTCTAGCAAGCACTAAAATTGCATCCTTCTCCAAAGATTTGACACCAGTCTTCTAGATAAGTTAACCATGGTATCAACCCCCAAATGACAAGTCAAGCTCATTAATCTTTTATTTAGCACAGATGGCACAGAAGCAAATACGTTATTTGCTTCTACTGATGAAAACTGGTTTATAATGTGCTTAAAGTAATTTCCCCCCTCAGTTTCTTCTCTTCTACACGCAGCAGATCATGGTCACACAGTAGGCTATGATTCATGCTCTCAAATATGAAAATATCAGTTGTAACTTGTTAAATGATCTCTCCCAGATGGTAACTGAAATTGTGATGGTGAATAGAAATCGTTCAGTGTCGCCCTCTTTAAGTGGCATCCAGGGTACATGCCATACCTGCTGTACTTTAGATTCACCACTGAAAAGAAGAATCACCACTATTCCAATGTGGATGGGGCACTTCTGTAAACTCCACGAACATACATTCAAGCTACTCGGGTGCCTGAGCCCATGTGTAGTAGGACAGTCCATCCTCAACCTTAGCTACTGGACTTATCAGTGGACATGATTCTCATGTAGTAGGGACTAAGTAAACGTGTGTTGCATAAGTGAACAAATGAGTGAGGAATGAGTCTACTTAGTCTTTGGCAGAACATGTACCATATATACTCAAGTATAAGCCAAGGCACCTAATTTTACCACAAAAACTGCACTAAAAATGTGCAAAACTCAGCTTATACACGAGTATATATGGTAACTAAGGCACTGTCCCAAAACCCAAACTCATTGTCGGTTCTGACTTATAGCCACCCTCTAGGTTCTCAACCTATGGGTTACGACCCCTTTGGGGGTTGAACAACCCTTTCACAGGTGTCACCCAATTTATAACAGAAGCAAAATTACAGTTATGAAGTAACAATGAAAATAATTTTATGGTGGTGGGGGGTCACCACAACATGAGAAACTGTATTAAAGGGTCAGGGGATTAGGAAGGTTGAGAACCACTGCTTTAGGACAAGGCAGAACTGGCCCTGTGAGTTACCAAGACTGTAACTCTTTATACGAGTTAGTCTTGTCATTCTCCTACAGAGGGGCTGGTGGTTTTGAACTGCTGACCCTGCGTTCAGCAGTCCCATGCGTCACTACTCTGTCACTAGGGCTTTTCAGACAAGTGTACATGGGGGAAATGAGCAGCCATTTTTCACCTTACAATTTTCTTATCTGCTTTGGAAAAACCTGCATTCTGAACTTATGGCAAAACTTCCCAAAATAGCACAAACATTCATTTAGTTATCAGTGCTGGTACTTGTTGCTTCTTTCAATCCAAACTTAATTTTCTCCATTGAAGGTGGGATAAAAAGGACAGAATATTAATGTAACTTTTAAAATATATATATTCTACCACATTTCAAATATTCCATTCAGGGGCACCTAGAGTCACAAAAGAAAATGTAAATCCTAAAAATATCTAATTGCAGTGGGAGGGAAGAACATATAAACAAATATAAGAAATCAGTTTCTCATTAATAGTAGCATCAAAATACATGAAAGTGCACAATTAGAGTAGGAATCACTTTAGTTGGCAAAGGTAGAAGTTAATTTAGGTAAGTGCTTCATTTTCTTTCATTGTTTATGATTTACACTGTGCTTTACAGAGCCCTAGTGGCAGAGTGGGCTATACATTGACCTGCACTTCACACACATCAGCTGAAGCTTTCAGCTCTCACAGGGATTGACAGCGTGGAAATCCCCAGGGACAGTTCTACTCTGTGCTATATACATTGCTGTGATGAGTCAACATGATGAAGTGAAATCTCTTAATATAGCTCTTGTATCCATGTGTCTCTAACGCCAACCAAATAGAAGGGTGATACCATGCAGATAGATACAAATAAGGCATGTGAAACACTAATAGATGGGATTCATCAGTTTTAGTTGCCATTCCTCTGGTTATTAGTGAACAATTGCAGACACAGGGAGAGAATTCCCAGGACTATCCAGGAAGAAGTGGCAGCGGCAGATGTCATGCCACAGTGAGACCAGAGACTGAAGCCAGGAGACCCTGAGATAGAGCAGAGGAGTAGCTATGAGAAGAAGAGGCAGAGCAGCAGGTGGGCTTCTTGACCCATGGTGACCAGAGGCCAAGAGATGATGTGGCTGAGAGCCTGACAACCAGAGTTATACTTGGCTGAGGAGAGGCACTGCTGTGGACCAAACACTGTATCCTTACTGTTTAGTGATCCTGACTTGTAATCTGGTAATTTCCCTAATCAATCCACATGAGTATTGTCTGTGAGTTCTACGTGGTCATTATAAGGGGCTATTGAATACAGCAGTTGAGTGTCATGGGAGGAATGGTTAGGGAAAGAAATGAGCCTTGGGCTAGTGAGGAGTTGGAATCTTCTCCCTTGTGTAGCCAAAGGAGGTCAGATAGGGCCTCTGTGCCGGTTTTGCAGTCAGAAGGATCGTTTGAAGGCAGTTTGTTTGGTTGGTTTTACATGCTTACTAAGGATTTGTGGTGGCATTGTTTTCAGCATTGCATTGTTAACCAAGGTCAGCAGTTCAACCCCATGGTAAAAAGATGAGGCTGTATGGTCCTGTAAAGACTTACAATCTAGAAAGCCTAACTAGGGTTGCTATACTTTGGAATTTATGGCACTGGGTTTGGTTGGGTTTGGTTTACATACTTACTGGTCTTCAGTTAACTACAATGTAATTTTTATTTTGCTGTTGATTTAGTGATATCATTAATTTAACTATCAATTGTTAAGTAACGACCAATCCAACAATTGATACCCTCAAGATTTCATGAAGAACACAAGAGGATTTATAATTCTGCCCATTAATTTTACCTTTAAAGGCAAATTTTTTTGCTGTTCTTCTTATGCCATTTCTCTCACTTGGCAGTGTAGTTGGATGATATTCACCAGTTCGCTTATAATATGCAATTTGCTTACAATGAAGGTCACCATTTTTTCCGCTACGAACCATTATTAACCTAGGCAAAAGTATTTAAAAATGCTTTGATTAGCTAATTCAGTTCCTATTTCCGTTCAGGCTTCTGCTTACATCTGACATTAGCTTTGCCAGAATATTATTTGAGGAGGTTAATTGTAGTACAGAAAAGGAACAGAGTGATGCACATGAACTAAAATATTCAAATGCTATTTTTGGGATACATCATGACAAATTATCTTGTCTCTTTCACATAAAAAGAAATGCTGAAAATTTTCCATATGTTGAGAAAAAGGAAATGAACAAGTACACTTTGAAAAATCTTGCTTAAAGTCTCTCCCAATGACATCAACTGCAATGTTATTTACATAGTATGACCCTGTTATGTTACATTTAAATAGGCTATAAGGGGATAAAATAGAATTTTATATTACTATGATACATACTCTTGGCCATTGTTAAAATATAAAACAAAAATACCCAACTGTTTGCATCAGATCTGAAAATGTATCCTCTAGAAATGTTCAAATGGCAAGTAACAATGGCAGGTCTTTGGTCATAGGAGATCTCATATATTCTTCTTAACTACATGTGAGCTGTTCTTTCTTGAACAGGAAAGCTTTTGGTCCTGCGTGTACTTTCTCTGTGTTATAATCTGGCTATCAATTTTTATTCTACATCCCACAATGTAGAAGATAGAATGGGGTGAAGAGGGACAGTCTAAACCTTCTAGACACCATTACGTAATTAAGGGAAGAAATGATAAAAACTAAATCAAAGCAGTGTCACTGGAAATGTATTTTGACAATTCTGGAAAAAAGATTCCAATGCTAAATACGTTGCATTAAGCTCAAGGGTGAACTCAGTAAGTAGGTGTGGGAGAAATTTCAGCAGCAGGCTGATCAGGTATAAGGTGTAGAGTATGAAGAGGAGGGGTCACAGCCTTAGCCTGCCAGTCACATCCATGAGTCTACTCTTCTGCAAAACCTTTTCTAACTACATCTTTTTCCTGACCCAGGAAGTCACCATTTGTATATTAAAACATGTTAAGACTAAGAAAAGGTAATGTAAGCAGCTGATTATAACTTCTGGTTTTGCAAGGGGAATGTTTTGTCATATTTGGTTGGTTTGCACTGTCACTTACACATGAAATAAAATCAAGAGAAACTGGCACAACTCTTTATTGCCTAATTCCTTGGTACTCCCACAGTAACATGTACTGACTTGTACCATAACATCTTCAACACTTTATTGCACTTATGAGTTTATGTCTCTCTTCCAAATATACTGTCAAATCCGGAAGGAAATACCAATAGCAAGTGAAACAGAAAAAAAAGTCACAGAGGATTTGGCAACAGAAACCAAAGTAAAAAAGAGTTCTTAGAAGTAAGCAGAGATTATGTAATACAAGAACTAAAATGTCTCAAGTTGCTTTTACAGCAGTGGAGCAGGGCAAGTGGAAATCAGCCTGCAATAGGATCTGGCGTGATGGCGCATTGAGAAAGTGGGTTTAGTAAATCTGAATTTAGCTGTAAAGACAAGGATGTGCACAGCAGTTGCTAGGGAGAGCTTTGGGGTCATTGATCGAACCAATATTATTGAGCACCTGCATAAAACCCTTTCTTTTCTCAAAAATCTGTAAAGATAAAGCCTTCCTAAGAGAGATGTTGAGTTGTCTGGCCTTCCATTGACTATGGTTAATGTTTAATAGGAATACTTTTTGATAACGTTTTACAGCTAACACCAAAGTCCAGATGATTCAAGTTGTATGCGTTATAATGAGTTCTGTGGTGTTGTGGCATTCACACACTGCTGGGCTTAGCAGTAGGGAGAAAGATGACAGTAGAGACAACGAGAGACTACATCAGAATGAAGAACCATCACACAGAAAGCACAACCATAGTTGTTTAAGTAGGGAGTTAAACATTTGCTGCTAATATGTCCTATTAACATATGGAAAGGGCTTTAAAAAGCCAGCATTTTTTTTTCTTCTCAAAGTATATGGGAAGCTTTAAAAAATTCATGGAAATTTTTAATTACCTTTTAGTTCCATTTTTCCATCAACTTTTTGAAGCCCCCTTGTATTTGCAAGTTGGTCTCTAGAAACCACCTATTTGAGTAATAATTAGTATGAGAAAATGGATTCAACCTGTAATAGCAAGAAACAAAGGTAAAATGCTTATATTAAAATTCTAATATATTCAAGAATTTTTGTTAAAGTTAACTGCATTAAAACCTAGTAAGATTAAGAGAATGTAATGGTAGTAGCTGATTATAACTTCTGGTGTTTCAAGGGGAATGTTAGGTCATATTTGGTTGAGTCTACGCTATGTCACTTGCACATCAAATAAAACCAACAGATATCTACATACTTATTGGCTAATTCTTCTGGTAATTTTATGTGTGAAATACAAGAAGGCAGGTCACTATCATTTTAAGTAAAATTTGGATGTTTCACCAAAAACAAATGCAGGTAAGGTTAACAATTTAATCCTCACAAGGGTTAACAGTATGCATATGTTTCAACTTAACACTTTTAACAAACACGTTAATTTGGGACCAAATTTTAACTTAAACTTTCCTAGCTTCATCTCTGAAAAATAGTAAGTGCACAATTTTCTGTAATGTCTTCAAAGGGTGGGAAATATATACACCAGGCCCATTCCTATCATCTGCTTTTCGGTATATAAATTTGTGCAATAAAAAATGACTTGGCTCGTTCCAAACCAAACTGCCATGGAGTTGATTCCGACTCATAGCGCCCCTACAGGTGTACGCAAAAAGCCACATGGGATAAACAGTCATTCTGCAAAATTCCTTTTCTTGACAAAGTGCCCTTTGTGTTTGCATTTTGGACAAAAGGGTACTTTGGCAGACCAAGGAACAGCTATGAGATGGCAGCTATCAAACTTGGTAAAGGGCAATTCTTTAACTTCGTCCTGGAGCCCCGCTCGATTTGGGGGTTTGCTCCAGCGCTCAGGAATCGGATGCTACTTTCCCTGGCAGACGGCACTGCCGGAGCACGTCAGAGGCTGGCACACCGGCTCCTAAGGGCAAGGTCCAGCTGAACATCAGATGAGCAGAAAAGAATCACCGACTAAAAGTGGGTTGTGCAGCGTTTCACCGCCAGGACTGAGAACAGAACTCGCCCTTTTGGTGCCCGGCTCGCTCGGGACTTCGCAACGCCCAGGGCCCTCCCGCTCCCAAAGCGCCTGCGCACGCTGGGGTCACTAGCCCTTCGTTGGGCCAGTTGAAGGGAGCGGTTTTGAAATGATTGTCAAGTCACGCCTCACGTTAATAATCAGTAGGTCTGACACAGCACATTGGAACGACCACTCACCAAGGGGGGTCCTTACTGCAAACGGCAGGATCTAAGCTTCCCGTCGCGACTCCGCTTCGGCTACAGGAAGCAGAACCACCCGGACTTTTAAGGGCAGCGCGCTTCTGAGGCCTGCGGCGTCTCGCTCGGCAAGGGCTCGGTCCTGGCCGGAAGTTGTTCCGCCCGGTGCGGTTTCTGAGTGAGACCCCGGGCTGGCGGAGGAGAGGCGTGGCCGGGAGTCGGCCGGCGAGGGAACTGAGGTACTTACAGGTGGATGTTGAGCTGCTGCTGGAGGAAGGAGGGAGGAGGGAGGAGAACCGCATTTACACTAGCACTGGTTCACGCCCGGCATTTCTGCCTCTCACTCGCTCCGCGGATCCAATGGGCGCCGCGACTGGCGCGGGCTCGAGCACGTCCAGTCGCTCGCGTGACGACCACCGTGTGGCAGGTGAGGGCCCCCGGAGCCGGAGGAGAAGCAGGGGTGCGGAGCCTCGTTGCCGGCGGGGGCGGCTGCGGCTGGGCGGTTGCTTTGTTGCTTGCTGCTCTCTGTGGAGTCCGGGCGCGCGCTCGTCCGAGGGCCATGTGCGGAAGTGAATGGCAATGTGGTCGTTGGTGTGACAGTGTGACAGGTCAGTCGAGCAGGGTCCCTTTCGCTTCTTGATTTCTAGCTCTCCATTGTTCCTTTTTGGTTTTTCTTTCCCGGACTGACGCCAGAGTTCTGCCAGACGGGAGGGGACTGCTGGGTTCTTACTGTCATTCCAAACTGCTCTTTTCGTCTTGCGAAAGTGGGCAGCCGCGAGTTTGGAACTTGCCGTTGGTAAGAATGGCAATTTTTAATTTTGTTTTCATTAGTGTTGCCGCGTCCATTCGCACTTCAAAGGAGCAAAAAGCCCGCACATTTCCGTCGCGCTCGTGGAGCCTGCAGGTCCGTGGGGGCATCTCCTCCCTGGAAAGGAGGGCACTGCATCTTTGCGCACTTCGATGGAAAAGGGCCAAGGATGTGTGACCCCTGGGTTTCCTTCACCAGGGTCTTGAAGCCCGTCTGGGTGCTTATGGGGAGTAGTTGCCTTACTTGAGCATGCGGCTTTTCCGTGGAAGATTTGTTTTAGAAGTAGACGACCAGGCTTTCTTCTAAGACATCTCTGGGTGGACTTCAACCTTTTGGTTAACAGCCAGTCATATTAACTAATTCCACACTCATGGCCTCCTGAGTTCCCTTAAGAGGGCTCTAAATAGTAAGGGAAACAGAGATCATCCAAATTGCCATTTTGAGAACGAGGTAGCTTTGTTCATGGCCGATCATGGTACAGACTATATGACATTAGCCTAGGCTTTTGTGCCCTTGATAGCTTGAGTAGTTTGGGAAGGACAGACAAGATACGATGAGGTTTTCAGCAGCATCTGCGGCAAAGAGACGTTTCATTGTCTTCATGGGATGAGCAGTAGATATTTGAGCTTTGTAGGTTAAATTTATGTCAGAAATTTGCCTTAATAGTAACAACTAACACAATATGTTAACAACTAATGTTTATTGCATGCTCAAGAAGTTCGATTTGCCCTGCTGCCTGTATTGTCATTTATACAACCTTCAAAACAATTTGATACAATTGTATTCATGAAGGAGAAAGAGCTCCAATAATTTGCTTAAGGATACAGACCTGAACAACAGTCAGACTAAGTTTTGTTTCTCAGAGTGTGATTCCCAGACCAGCAATATCAGCATCGCCTTAGAACTTTTAGAAATGCTAACCCATTCCCAATGTTTCTCATTTAGTAGTTTTCACTGTCACTTTAATTGGTTCTGGTTACATCTAAAGTTTGAGGACCAGTGCTGAAGAGTGTGGGCACTTTAGTAGCATAGTACCCGTTTTGAATTTATAAATCTGGGTCAAATAGTATTTAAAAATATATATTCCTTTTAAAGAGATTACAAAACTTTGTCCCATGTCTGTTAAAATATAGATTCCCTTGTTTAAAAATGCTGATTCAGAAAATGTGTGGTAGGTCAAGTATTTTTTGCAAGTGCCCCAGGTAATTCTGATTTAGCCAATCTATAGAGAAGAACTTTTTAAAATAAGGAAATTTTCAGCTCTGGTGTTTACATAACATAACATATTTAAAGTCACACAGTTATGTATTTTGGAATTCACAACCAAGGATGCAGTTTGATTAAAAGTGCTGAATAATGCAGAAATGCTGTATACATAAAGTAAATTTGCTTTCCTTGTCAGGATCAAGTGAAATGGCAAACTATTTAGAATGTTCGAGATTTCTTACAAGGTTCATAAGCTTTTATCTTGTAGCACAGTATATATACACATTGGTGCAGGGACAGGGTGTGCATTTAAAAAAAATTTTTTTATCTTTAGTTTTCCAAGAATTTACCATACATTTGTAATGCTGTGATAGGAATCTGGGTGATGCAAATATTTAACTCTGATGACTAACTGAAGGAATCAAGCTCACACAGCTGTATCTCAGAAGAAAGGCCTGGCAATCTATAAAAAAAGCACCCATGGAAAATTATATGGAGCACAGTTATATTCTTACACACATGTGTTTACCCTGAGCCAGAATCGACTCAACCACAGCTGGTAGAGTGTAATAAGAATTTAAAGAATCTTAGCCTTGCTTTTCTTAAAGTGGGTGGTACTGTCTCCTGGTTGGGGGGTGGGGAGGGGTTGTTTTCTGGAAAGGGCTACCAAAGCAGATAACAACACTTCATGCTGGATTCTCGGCTATGATATAAAAGCTTTTAATTGCAGGGGTTGCTGAGTAATTTTTCTTTCTGAAAAGGGGGTTGGTAGGACAAATAAGTTTGGGAACCTAGTCTCAGAGAGTGGTGGCCTTTGGTTAAAAGCAGACCTAAGTTTGAGTTTCACTTTATAACTAAGTACCGTAGTAACTAAGTGCTTCTCAACTAACGCATCCGAGAAAATAATTGTATTTGTATAGTATCTTGGGGAAATTGAATGTTATAAATATTGAAGCAATCACTACTGGGGCCCTGGGGGGTTCCTGCTGTCTTAAATGCTCAGTAAATTAATTTCCTGACGGGTTCTGGTGGCTCAGTGGGTTAAGCATTGCGCAGCTTCACCAAAAGCAGATTGAATTCACCAGCCACTCTGGGACAAAGATGAGATGGTTTACTTCCTTAAGTACTTAGTGTTTTAATGCCCTTGGAAAACAGAAGAGATGTGTACTGGAAAGTAGGGGTTTCTAGTTGCTTTAAAGTAGATGTGGGAACTTTTTTTTTCTTCTGTCAAGGGCCATTTAAATATTTATAACATTTGCAGGTCATAATCATCAAATATTTAATTTACTCACCCCTAATGAGAGGGAATAGTGGTTACACATTTGGGTTGCTAACTGCAAGGTCAGCAGTTTGAAACCCTCAGCCACTCCATGGGCGAAGGATGAGGCTTTCTACTCCCATAAAGAGTTACAGCGTTGGAAACTTAAAAGTGCAATTCTACCCTGTCCTTTAGGGTCGCTATGAGTCAGAATTGACTGGAAGGCATTGAGTTTGGTTTTTTGGAACTGCTTCTCTATGGTGAATTGTGTGATGTTAGCTGGTATTGTTGATTTCACAGCCCTTATATGGCTGCATGTTTCCCACTCTTGTTTTAAAGGCTCTGTGAATCAATTTATTGATGCACCCATAACTCATTCATTTTGAATCAACACCTTGAGAAAACCTGAGTTAATAAAGAAGTACTAATACTTTTTATTAGGTGTCATTGATTCTATCATGACCCTGTGCACAACACAATGAAACAGTGCCCATCTTGCGCCATCCTCATAATTTGTATTTGAGCCCATTGTTGTAGCCACTATGTCAGTCCATCTTGTTGAAGATTTTCTTCTTTTTCTTGCTTTACTAAGTCTTCTCCAGGACATGGTCCCTTCTGATAACATGTCCAAAGTATGTGAGATGGAGTCTTGTCAATCCCGATTCTAAGAAGGATTCTGTCTGTTCTTTCAAGGCAAATCTGTATGGTCTTCTGGCAGCCCATGATATACTCAATATTCCTCACCACCAACAGAATTCAAAAACATCAGTTCTATGGTCTTCCTTATTAACTGTTGAACTTTCACATTCATATAAAGTGACTGAAAATACTATAGCTTGGGCCAGGTGCACCTTAGCCCGTAAATTGACATCTTTGCTTTAGAACAATTTAAAGAGGTCTTTTGCAGAAGATTAGACCAATACAATACTTCATTTGCTTTTTTCACTACTGCACTCATGGGTGTTGGATGGG